TTTATCTAGAAATAAAAATCATAAATAATGGGTTTTTCTTTTAAATAAGCTTCTCATAAATCCTGAAAGAAAATCAACATCAAGGAATAAAACGAAGGTAAATATAACAAAAGAATGTCGATTCCCTGCACACCTACTCAGCACAGTTGTGTTCATGAAGCTGTCAGATTCCTGTATATAAAGGCAGAAGCAGCGTGATCACAACAACTAAATGCCAGGGGTGGGTCGCTACCAGGGGCGTGATTCACTAGCACAGTGCACAGCTCAAACTGAGGTTCCAAAGCAAACAAAGTGTGAGATTTCCTCAGTTCCCAGTGTACTCACATTTCTGGAGAATGTAATGTATGTGAAACCATGCATAAAATCATCTGGGTTTACACAGGAAACAAAATTAGGTTTTAGAATCAGAGAATTTTTAAATACTGGATTTTGTAAAAGGACATAAATGTCTGGGGCATTCAAAGTTGAATTCAGGTTCAAGAAACATCCTTTCTTGCGAAGAATTTTCTGGGCTTTGTAGGACCACTCACACCTCTGGCCCCCAACCCCTGGTCACCTCGAGTGAGCATTACTCTGACTTTCGAGATGCCGCCGTTCAGAACCACTGGACTGTTCATGAGCTGATTGGCCTCCCTGCCCACTCTTTCCAAGGTTGCGGAAAGCCTAATTTTGAGCACACGTACCTGTGAACAGCGCTCATAACCACACTACGCCTATGTAACTACCCCAAATTTAGCTACACTGCTTAGAGTTGCTTAATAAACGACAGCCATCGGTGGGGTTAAATGTCTCAGGGAATTCCAACCTGTGAGTGCAGTGCTGATTCACCACTGCACCCCAAAGTCAATATTTCCATACACCCTCACACCATTGATGGGCAGCTGGAGGATAGAAAAGTTGGGAGTTCCCAGAGCTGCAGGTGATACTCCCCTTTTCTCTCCGGCTGGTCCTTTACAGAGCAGACGGCTAAGGGAGTCTGACTGACAAAGTTTTACTCAAGAGATTGAATTCCAGAAAGTATATTACTCATTAGACCAAAAAAAAAAAAAAAAAAGAAACAATAAAGTCTGCTCTTGTACCCTCTTTCTTTGGAACTACCTACAGGGAGAAAAGGGATCACCATGCTAAGGAAAAAACAAATCATGATTTCTGTTTTGTTTAGATTTTTAAATTTTATTAATTTTATTATTTTTTTCATTTCATTTTATTTTTTTATTTTTATTTTTAAACAATGTTTGCTTCCCGCACCCCGCCTTGTTTAGATTTTTAAATGGTGCCCTCCTTACCTAAGAGGTATTTTGCCTTTTCAAATTCAGTGAGACCTTTCAGCTCTCCAAAGAAAGAGGGTACAAAAGCAGACTTTTGTTCCCCTTGAAAGTGCTGGAGAGACTCTGACAAATTCTTCTTTTCCAGAGCGTCAAGAGCCCTCCTTTCTTTTTGTCTTTCTGTGACCTCTCCTGGCTCTTGTCTCTCACTTTCTCAGTTTACGATACCCAAGTTCATGACTGATTTTGAGGACTGGTGGCGCAGGGGATTGAGTGCAGCTCTGTGAAGCTGTCGGTGGTCTCTGCAGCGCGAGTTCAATCCCCGGGCCGGGATGCTACCCACATGGCTCAGCAGACCTCTCCCGACTCACTTGCTGCTCCGCTCAGCAGTGTACTTTGGTCTATCTGCCTGTTCTGTTCCCTGTTCTGTTCCTCTGGTGAATCCTCTCAAGGCCCCAGCATGCCATTGTTTCCAAATGCCTGTTTGCACAAGGGCTCCAGGGTGAACTACTCAGCACCCTGTTCAGCCACCATGAGCCCTCCCTCCCTGCCACCTTCTCCAGGTGGGCTGCACTCAAAACTGGTCCCTCATCTTGGGTCACCTCGAAATGATATTGGGCTACACTGGAAATGTGAGAAGTGGCATCTCCAGCCCAACTACTGGTGTGAGAAATGGCAAGCATAGTTTCCTAAACTCACACTCTGAACCATGGCGCTCTCCTCAGTGGTTCTTTTGGAAAGCCCTAACTTCTTGGGGCTGTGGAGGTAGGGCCAAGACTCTTGTCTTTCCTGGGATCAGCCAGTTCAGCAGAGCCCCTCTTCTTTATTATAGCTCAGGACGCTGCAGCCACAGCTTACAAAGGGGCTGTGTCCTTCGCCAACCACACCTCTGCTTTCATTGGCTGCTCCCCACATTTTTCCTTGACAGTACTAACCAGGGTACTGGTGCCAGGTTTGGGGTTGAGTACTTGGTGTACATTAACTTTTCATCCTCCTAATGACCCTTCAAGTAGTTACCATTGTTATCATCACCCTCCTCATTTTACAGTCCGGAAAAAAAAAAAAAAAAAACAAACCTGGAGGCACGGAGGAATTCAGGAACAGGGTCGAGGTGACACAGCAAATAGCAGAAGCTGGATATCCCCCCACCCCAATGCTCCAGAATCAGAGCTGCCATCACCCATTGCCCTGCTTGCCAGCACTTTGAATGCTCCCAGTTGAGAGTGTCAAATGAAAAGCTTCCCTCCTTGTTGAGCAAAGGTACCTCGGGCCACAATGGACTTAAGGGCAGAACTAAGGACGCATTCAAAGGAATTGCTGTTTCCCTAACTCTCTTGTTCTCTAGTTAATACAGGACTCGAGCCCTCAGAAATGGCAGCTTTGTTTCTGGGGGACCCTGAGCAATACCCCTGAAGGATGCTACCTGAAGTTGATTCCACAAGGGGGCATCCAGATGCCCTGGACACTACCCATGTGGCCCTAGGCTTCTCTGGAGTGTCCCTTCCCTCACTGTGACACTGGGGGACACTCAGCACCCAAGCAGCTTGATATGGTGCTTCCAAGTCCCTCAAGTCAACGACTTTAGCTTCTCCCTGCCTCTCCTCCCAACCCTCCGCTCAGACATGGGGAATCGGGGAGGAACAGCCTCCTCTGAGTTCCCAGACCAGGGGCACACTTTATCCATAGCCTGCCTCCTCTGCCCCTAATACTCCTGCAAATCAAGTCCTAGCAGGATTCCCACAGGTTCACCAACAAGACCTGGGCAAGACTGAGTCCCACCTCGCTCTGATATGCCTCCACCACAGGTGACAAGGAAAAGGCCTTCTCAGATGCTTCTTAATGGCTTTGAGACTGCCCTGACATGACAAAGATTCTTTGCTTGACCAAACTTTAGTCAGACTCCCAAACCTCCCAGGCTCACCTGTGCACTTCCTTGTAAAATCCAGTTTTAGCAACAACCTCCCTAAATCAGTTTAACCAGAATCTCTCATCCTCAATATACGGCGACCTTCAGTACCTGGTTGGGGTCCTCATCCTCCATCGTTCCCCAGATGATGTCTGATCACCTAGCCTGTCTTCAGCAAGAATCCCCTTAGGTTAGTTTAGCCGGAAAGCCCCTTCCCTCTGCCATTTCCTCCTAATATTTTCTATGCACTGACTTCTGTTCTTTCATTGGCTAAAAACCCCACTTGCCTAAGCTGTAGACAGAGTTTAGCTCAGTCCCATACTGAGGTCTCCTTCCCCCTATTGCATTTGTGCTGAGTAAAATCTGTTTTGACCACTTTACCTATTTTCCAGCTGTGATTTTTCTTCCATAAGGGTAATTCCACAGCCACTAGGTCTTCTGTCATGCTTCTGTCTCATGCTCACATTCTGCCAGCCCTTGCAAAACTACTGTAGGCTACAACCAGTCACTCAAAGAACTGAGCACTAACCTCACTAGCATCCGAACCAGTGGTGTCCATAGCACATTCCCTGTTTCTGGCTTTCTGATCACTCCCTCCTGTTAAAAACAGGACCCAACAATTACAGCAGGGTCCTCATCGTTTACAAAGCACTTTCTCAGTGAGTAACACAACAGGGTGAAAGGGAAAGCGATGAATTACACAACCCAGCAACATCTTGAGCAAATGCTTTACTCTATGTCAACCTGTTTCTTCATTTGTAAATTCAAGGAATCATAACCACCAACTTGGTTCTTTTTTTTTTTTAAGTGATTTTACTATTCGTGATTTTCTTTTTAATTTTTTTTAAGATTTATTTATTTATTTATACAAGCACTGGGGTACAGTCAGAAGTGCGGGAGGGTGAGAGAATTCACCAGAGCCAGAGCAGAGAGCAAAACAGGCAGACTGACAAAATACACTGCTGAGGGGAGCAGCGGGAGGCAGGAGAGGTCTGTGCGCCATGTGGGACCCTCCTCCAGTGGCCGGGGAGCATCCGGGGATCGAACCGGCCCTGCAGAGGCTGCGGGCAGCTTTGCAACCCAGCGCTCAACCGCTGCACCACCGGGGAGGCCCCCAACTTGGTTCTTGATGCTTTAATGACGTAATGTATGGGAAAGCAGAAAGCACTACACAAATGCTAATGACTATAGTTTTAAGTGCCAGGCCACTGCAACTCTCCATCTAAACTAGATAGCTACAGAATCAACAGCCTCTGACAGGCAATCTTTTTAAAAACATATTTTCTGGCGATATCATTTTTAGTGGGAAAAAATGATGCTATTCAAGAAAAAATTAAGCAATTTGATAGCCCATAGTTGTACCACAGTAACACAACTTTTGAATTTTAATGGTTTACTTTTAACATATCTACCTATTTTTAGGATGTTTCAGTTATATTTTTTGAAAAGTACTTTATAGTTGCAAGCAAATAAGAGACTCTCCAGGTACCAGAAAAAACTTGGAGGCATGAGCTGGAGGAAAAGTTCCAGGCTCAGAATTCTCTGCCAAACAGGTGACAGGATTATGAGATGATGAGCAAAAGAAAGCAGCTGAACTGAGAGGCTGCTCTCTGAACTTGACTCTCTCCTGCGTGGAGTTTGAGTAGGTGCCCGCCTTGCTCTCCAAAGCTGGAAAGCAGGTGACACTCCATGTCACACCCCAGCAGGCGGCAGGTCGGGTTCCTAAGGCTGAGGGAGGAGCTATGGAGTTACCACAGAGGGGTGGGGGGAGGAAGTAAAACGAGGAAACAGCCTCAGGGGCTCCATTTCCTCATTCTCCTCTGGGGACATTAATCACAGAAGCAACTGTGTGCAAAGGAGAATCGGAGAGCTTTCTGCCACACTTAACTACACTGAGGTAACTTTAATGTCTACTCTTTCACATTTGGGGTGAGGAATGAGCAGAGGCTGCTTTATTGCCCTCCTCGGGCAGCTGAAATATACTTGGGGAGGTAGAGGTGACACATCCCTTCAGCTGCAGCTAGGTTTCCCCTGGGTAAGTGGGGAACAATTCTTATTCTTAAGAGTTTGGGGTTCTTGAACACTTGTGGCATTCCAGAGATAATTTACCTTGCTAAGGCAATGGAGGAAACCACTTTGTCTGACTTGTAAATTTGTCTCCAGTCAACAGCTTTTATAAATAACCACTGCTCGCAGGACACAGTGCTGGTCTGGTGGGGTGTTCCAGAAGGTACCAAGAGCGGGACTGTCCTCTTCACTAGGTTTCCTGAATTCAAGGCAGCTTCTAGTTCAGGATTTGGGCTCATAAGAGGAAAAGAAAGCCACAGACTAGCAAGAATCAAAGATAACTTTGAATTATTTCTCCTGAACTAGGTTTGTCTAACTGGAACTTCATTCTGCCTCCTTGTTTTAACTAGTAAGGAGCATTTCTAGGAAGCCCTGTCCTCGTCTCTGAAACAGGACCCCTGGAGATAGGTCAGCTGACGGTGACTCACACACCCATACTTCCTGGTCCCTTCAGAGCCCTAGTCTGTGTCTGAAACTTGACATTGTAAAGACACATTATGCTTTGGGGGTAGAAGCTCTTCTTTCCTGCCTGCACGTATTTGCGTTCCTGCAGTTAGGAATGGCTGATGTGCGTACCTGGCCTTTCTCCCCTAGGGTTCAGCAGTGGTCGCCATGGGCTCTCTGAATTCCCGAGGCCCCAAGGCAGAAGCTCAGGTGGTGATGATGGGCCTCGACTCAGCTGGCAAGACCACGCTCCTGTACAAACTGAAGGGTCATCAGCTGGTGGAGACCCTGCCCACTGTTGGTTTCAACGTGGAGTCTCTCAAAACTCCAGGGCATGTAACTCTGACTCTCTGGGATGTGGGGGGGCAGATCCCCCTCAGGGCCAGCTGGAAGGATTATCTGGAAGGCGTGGACATCCTCGTGTATGTGCTGGATAGCACAGACGAAGCCCGCTTGCCTGAGGCAGTGGCTGAACTCACAGAAGTCTTGGATGACCCACACATGGCCAGCATCCCTTTCTTGGTTCTGGCCAATAAGCAGGAGGCTCCCACTGCTCTGTCACTGCTTGAGATCAGAGACAGGCTAGGCCTAGAGAGATTCCAGGACCGCTGCTGGGAGCTCCGGGCCTGCAGTGCCCTCACTGGTGAGGGGCTGCCCGAGACCTTGCAGAGCCTGGGGAGTCTCCTGAAATCCCGCAGCCACTGTGTCTCCAGGTGAGCACAGGTGGGACAGGGTGTGGGGACAGCAGGATGTCTTGACCTGAAACAGAGCAGTTAACTTTGCTCGTAGGAGTGGAAGAACCAACCAGTCCTTGAGAATCTTAAGTTCAGTTTATCAGATAAAAAATTTCCTCTGATGTGCTCATGGCAGCACTATTTACAACACTATAGTTATGGAAACAACTTAAGTGCCCCCCAAAAGATGGATGGATGAAAAAAACAAGGTGTCATAACATACACATGATGGAATATTACTCAGCTATAAAAGGAGATGAAATCTTGCCATTTGTTACGACATGATGGAACTGGAAGAGAGCATATTAAGTCAAATAAGCCAGAAGGAGGAAGACAAATAACAGATGATTTCACTCATCTGTGGAATATAGAATAAAAACAAAGGAATAGACAAAAACAAACTGAAATAAACCCTAGAAATATGGCTGCTACTAAAGGGGGAGGGACCCAATGGTCTATGGTGAAGGACTATGGGTACTTTTGTGGTGGGGTAGGCTGGTAATATACCTCAGAAGAGGTGTGAACTTATACCCTTAAATCATACCCAGTATTGTAAACTAATGTTACCTCAAAAAAATTTTTTTTAATTTGGTTAAAGTAACATTGCAGAAATAGAATAATAAATGGTGGTATGTCAAAAAATATGTACAAATAAAATGTCAAAAGAAAAAAAAAAGAAATCCTGTGCTTGGACAGAATGCTTTCTTCTTGAGACTTGTTGTCATTGGTGTTGAAAATCAACTATTCTTTGAATAATGGTCTTCTAAGGAGAAAAATCATATTTCAACATACTTCATTTAATAACTGATTACCAAGTGTGAATTGAGCAATTGTAACAGTAAGAACTACATGTAGTTGCATAGTAATTAAAGACAAATTCACGGAGGGAAAGAGGTTTCTAAATGAAATCAGAATATCATCTAGCCATGGTCTTGATCTCGTGAGTGGTCTCTCCTGGTAACCCTGGGCGTATCAGCTCACTCAGAGCAAGCAGCCAGTACCAGCAGAACTGAGTGGACACATCTGCTCCCACAGAATCTCGGGTCTGGAATTCCATGGAGGTGCTATCCTTGGGCAAAAGGCCAGGACTTCAAGCCTTCTAAAATGGCTCCTTTTTGACTCTGATGGATCCTTCTCTAATCGTCCAAAAGATCTTTATTTTTTTCCATTCTTTTCCCCTGCTCTTTTCTCCTTGCAGCATGTTTCCTTAAAAATACTATTAATAAATTATTTTATTCATTCATTTAATTTAAAAAATGTAGTGTCTTGAATTTGGGCAAAGTTACTGAGCTTTTAGACATGAATCAAGTTTTCTAGATGAGAGATGTGACTTAACCCTTAAGCCACCAGGTTCACCCTCAATCAGCAACTCTTTATTGAGCGCCTGCTGGGGCCAGATTCTATGCTTAGTGCTCTACATAGATTACCTCTAATTCTCCCAACTCTGGAAAGTAGGTATAATGCTTATGTTATATAATCAGGAACTGAGACTTGGAGAGGTTGAGATGTGCTTTGAGGTCCAGAGCTATTAAGGGACGTATCTGGAATTTGAAATCAGATATGTCTAGCCCTGACGATGCCTGCATTCTTCCACACCATCATGCTTCTAGACTGTTTAAGCTGAGGTTGACCTTCAATCAGCAAATGTAAAGGGGAGAGCAGTGTAGTCAGAGAAGAGAGACTACTTGGAAGCCCGAGGGAAAGTGTAGGAAGAACAAGGAAGTTGCCATGGCTGAAACAGGAGGATGTGGTGAGGGGTTAGGAGGGCAACATATTAGAGTGTGAAACAAACCTGGACAAACATTGTATGTTTGCATTGGCTGGAACTTTCCTAACCAAGAGTTTGCCTCAGTAAGTAAAATCACTGGACTTGCCGTTTAGGAAGATAACGTAGTAGTAGTGTTGGGGGAGGAAAAGTAGTGTTGGTACTAGGTCAAGAAGACAAGGAGCCAGCTAGATATTTGTCACAGTAACAGAGAGGAGAGGAAGAAAAATGAGAAAATTAGGGTCTCCCGGTGGCCCAGCGGTTGAGCGCTGGGTTGTGAAGCTGTCCGCAGCCTCTGCAGCGCCGGTTCAATCCCCGGCCACCAGCGAGGGGCCCACATGGCGTGCAGACCTCTCCTGCCACCCGCTGCTCCCCTCAGCAGTGTACTTCGGTCCTTCTGCCTGCTCTGCTCCCCACTCTGGCTCTGGTAAATTCTCTCACCCTCCCGCGTTTCTGACTGTACCCAGTGCTTGTATAAATAAATAAATCTTTTTTTAAAAAATGAGAAAATTGGAGCCATTTATAAGGAAAAAAGCTAAGAGAGAAGAAATCTGAAGATGGCTTAAGAGTTCGAGTCTGTGTGACACGAGGAATTGGAATGAACTGAGAAGGTGGAGATACAGGGAAACCTGTTAGGACAGGGGCCAGATCCCTTAGATTCTATTTTTGAAGTGATGGGTATGGAAGTGTAGCTTCTTCTAGATTGTTCATTGTCAGAACAATCTGTACTCACAGTCCTAAGATCTGCTGGCCTCCTGGCTGAACCTCATTGCCTCACATGTTTTGTCACTTTCCTTGGGAGAGTTCATCCTCCCCAGCATTTGCTTTTCCTGTGTGACTCTCACGTGCTCTGGGTTGTGACAATGATTTTACACAAAGCAGTTTCACATGAGTGTCTGCTGGCCTCCTAGAGGATCAGTTATTTGAGACTAGCTATTATATTAGCTTTTCTGCTTGGGCTACGTGGACCTCACAGGGCTCACAAATCTAAACTCTGTACCCATTGGTGGCACAGGCCCTGGGGGTTCCATTTCTGACGGTGTTTTTTTTTCCTTCTTTCGCCCAATGTTCCAAATGGGCAATTTGCTTCCTCATACTTCCCAGAGTTACATTTTCTAGTCCTGTTTTAAGGAAGGGGCATCTCTTTGATGCTCTGACTTTACTGCTGAGTTCAAATCAAATTTTCCCTTCCTCCAAGCAAGCCTAAGGCCACATGTCTAGTTCCCCTATAGGTGTTATTACATCTCCCACTCCTTTGTGCTGAAATTTGGTTCCTCTCACAGACTCTAAGCTTCCAGTTTCCATTAGCTGCATTGGCTGTGGTTTCTCTCTTCATTCCTGCCATTTGAGAATTTTCCTTTCTTTTGCTCAATGTCAGCATACACTAAAAAGTTTAATATCATTTTCTCAACATCCCTATGATTCAGGAAAGTCCATCTGCAGCATTGCTAGACTTTCTGAATTTGTTCGAATATGTGCAAACAGCCTTCTGAGGAGCTGGCATGAAGGTGATATAACGAGCTCTGTCCATAGGAAGATTCCCTGGGCAGCGGTATTTAGGTGGAGAGTGGATCCTAAAGGCAGGGAGACAGGCTAGAGGATGACCGTGGCATCTTTTGACTGAAGCAGGCCCTGCCAGCACTATGGGTCTGATGTGACATGCCACCCGCAGCAGCCCATCACACTAGGGCCACTCTTTGTTTCTTGACAGCCCCCTGCTGTATCCGGGCTGGTCTCACCACACTAGGATATATCGTGCTCGTGCCCACTTCTGAAGTCTGGTCTTGTTAAATGAGACAGAGTGGATGAGGGGCCAGCAGATAGCTGAATGTGTGCTGCAAACCCCAGATCCTTGAAGGCAGACATGCTTAGTCTCCATCAGCCCCAGGAAGTCCCCTTTCATCATTCCCATTCGATAAGATTTGGGGGGAAAAGACAGCAAAGCAAAATACTGTAAGAAACTTACCTAGGTAGTGGGACCATGACTCCCTGCTAGGAGGAAGTGAATCTAGGTGCCCTGTGTTTGGCCCTGCAATATATGCATACAATTGTGGGCTCACCCAGCAGTTCTAGGTGTTAACTCTACAAGTGTCTGCATGGAAAGTGGGGTTTGAGAGCCTTGGAGTCCCAGGGCAGTTCCTGGCCTTCCACCTCACTGGCTCTGACAAGTTTGAGAGCTGGCAGCCCCAAGGACACGAGGCTCTGAAGTGCCCACCTGGGATTTTGGATGCTCCTGTGCGAGGGCTCCAGCCTAGCAGTGTTCGTGTCAGCAGAAGTTCTGGCAGTTACAGTAGTGGCCCCAGGGTCACACAAACTCACAGAAGCCTCCGCACACCTCTGCCGTTCCTGACGCTAGGGTGTTTTCCTTTCCTCACCTCCCATTCACATCCCGCCACTGTTTAAAGAACTTCAGGTCCCACCTCCCCAGGAAGCGACGTCTGCACACTCCAGCCAGTGTTCATTCTCCCTCTGAATGCCCACAGAGCTGGGCACGGGGGCTTCCCTCCTAGTGCCCAGTGTCGTTCTGCCTTCACTGGGGGCAGTTGCACATGTTGGTCTGTGATCTCCCTAGATATGGTAAATTCCTGGAGATGTGGACCACTGTTATTGTATGTTGCTCAAAAAATATATGTGAATAATGAATAACTGATTAAAGTCATTGAGCCGGGTGTCATGGCAGAGAATCCCCAAGTCCTCTGAACTGTCCAGAATAAAATCCAAAAATATGAGAACACCAAGATGTTTATTGTTGCTAAAACTGCAGCCAAATCTATGCTCTCAGCATCCTGTGCAGTAAAAACAACAGCAAAAAGTCATAATACCCTTTCTAGAACTTACCATACTCAGAACTGTCTTCATTTTAGTCAGTGTGGGAAAGGAGGTAGTAACTGGAGACCTGGGGCTGAGGACAAGCCCAGGCACAGGTGGGTGAGGAAGGGTACGTGGCCCCCAGAGGTGGCATAAGATCAGGTGCAGGGCCCAGAGCCAGAGCCCAGCAGGATGAGAGAGATGGGTGGCCGTGGTCATTCCAGGGCTCGCATCCTTCCTTCTGCTTCCACCTTTATTCTGGTGGCTCTGGAGGGAGGAGGGGACCCCACCTTTTCCAGAACCTTCTCTGAAGACCATGAGAGAGCAAGCCTTAACTGAAGGGAGCAAGAGTGGTAATAGGTCAAGGCTAATTCTTGTGGACTGGGGATTCCACCCCGCTTCCTGTTGCCCACTGAAGGGTAGGGTGGTCCTTGAAGACCGTGTCAGCCCTTGCTCTTTACCTGAGATGGGTCAAGGCTCTCCAGGGACATGGAAGTGAGGTGGAGGCAGGTAGAATGTCTTCCCTCCTGCTCGTCTGCTCAGAGATACACATTTACATCTACACATAGGCGTACAGACATGTGTATGCATATCGCAGAGCTGTGATATGGGGAATCTAAGGAAAAGCCAAATCATGATTTCTGTTTGGTTTAGATTTTTAAATGGTACCCTCCTGAGGTTACCATTCTCTGCCATGACACCCAAGAGGTATTTTACCTTTTCCAATTCAATGAGACCTTTCAGCTCCTTTAGCCTCCAGTTATACATGAGAGTGAAAGAAGACTGTGCACCAGCTCAGGTGACTATAAATGCAGAACAGACACGTCTATTTCCTTTTTATATATAAAAGAACAAGACCTTTCCTCCCCGCAAACACTGCGTACAATGAGAATTGCTCTACTTTGGAGAACTGATATCATCTCTGAATATGAGGCTGAATTTCTCCCTTCACCACTAATTAATTTGGAAGATTTTTCTCCTTTTCTCTTTGTTAGAATCAATCCTTCGGTGAAAGTGAGAGCTTGTGGAATGAAATTTAGCTTTGTCCTGCTGAGTTTCTACACATTTGCCTCCTATTGCTGGGGCT